CATTTTTTTTTACGAGTGCCCCTAACACTACTTTAGTTAAAGTGGTACTGCTCTGCAATCACTAGAAGTATCACGACAAGTTTGTCACTGCACAGACTTAAGACATGCACTGGCAGGTTACATCAATCGCCAGTAACCCAGTGTTGCCACAGGCATTACAGTGTTGTCAGTCTCGTTATTTTATTGTCAGACCTCGTAGATATCCAATGGAAAGCTCGAGTTGCTATAAGCCTAAACGTTTCATCATCGTGCTGTGACAAAAAATAAGGGAGATTCCACCAGTTCACTAGAGTCTGCGGAGCTGAACTTGAAACTCACCTGCCAATCTGGTCGGATTATATAATGCAAAATTTAGCTTCATCGCAAAACCTGATCCGTGCGACCCAGAGTCGCCCGAAGAGACTCACCTACTCACGACTTTCCTCGTCATAATTTGACTCAAGTTGGATCAATGGTCAATTCTTTCGAATCTTTTGCTAATTTGCACTGCAAGCCGTACTTATATTCTTTTATAATAAAAAAAGAACAGAGAAGTATATCCTCTCCCTTTTTGAGGCTTGATTTCCCGTAAACCTGCTCCAGTTCCAACCAAAATAAAAGAATTGTGCTGGAATGAGTTGTTAGAGCTATCGGCACCAGAAAAAATTCTTTTCATTCGCCCTCGCAAGCGCAGGCCAGGCCTAAAAGTGTTGCAACCCTGCAACTCGAGCAGGGTTGCGGGCCGTGAAGGTGCTCACTTTGATGAAGCTCGCCCTTTATTTCCTATATCTATTTATAAGAATAAGAATGTAGCATATCACTACAGTTATCGTTTTTTCAAGTAAAAAATGGGAATGGAGAGTTAAATGCGACGATGGAATTCTAATGCGAATAAAGGAATTAATACTTTTAAGTCACCATTGGCATTGCCAAGAACCAGTGGAGGATACGGGGGGGGCGACTGCCCCCCTCCCCCTATGGCCAGGTTAGCATTTGATTTATTTATTCAAAATAACATCTGCATTAAATTTTATTGGAGCCGGTGAAATAGATACCTTCTTACCCCAGACGAAAAATAAAAAAGGCAAAAGGACGAGGCATGATGGTAGGCAGTATGTAGAAACTTGGGGAACTGTGAAACGTTTCTGTATCCGCCCCTGCCAACATCATTTCCCAACATTCCCATTCCGCCAACGTCTCCCACCTTTGCCCAATGTGGGCCCAACGTAACGTGTCATCTGGGTAGTCTCTTATTCCCATTTTGTTGGCAATCTAGCTACGTTTCACGACGCGCACACCCGAAACTATACTGCACCACAGACTAGGCACACATCCCGTGTCCTTGGGGCACACTGCCGCGTTCCTGGCGTTCATTCGCACGTCCACGTCCTGGGATGTCCGTACATTGACATGTAGGGACCCAAACTCCAAACGAGTGTGCAACTCGGACCTTTCATGGCCTAGTAATGATTGCTGTCGACATGGAGGCGAACCCGACCCCTTAAACTACAGGACGACATTTAACCCGCAGTTCCCATTCTAACGCGAAGAGGTCAGCGTCTTCTAACAGACGGTCCCCAAACCTTAGTAGGTTTCCCCCCATCTCCTGCAGGTGTCCACAATCCGTGCCCCACGTGGATCCCACAAGTTCTTTTCAAACAATTTTCTCTTTCATCTTTCTCGCACTTTCCCGTTCACTTCCCATAAGAGTGAACTCCGTGACCCATATCGATCCCCGTCCCTGTCGCACTAAAGGGGGTGTACGTATATAAACTGCGAGGGGAATCTGAAAGTTCAGTCCTACCTCCAGAGCCAACCATGGCATTACGCAAGGATCCCGACATCGTTGAAATCGCCACCCTCAGGAATTTCTCCTGAAATATTCCACAACCCATTTGAACTATCCCATTCTTCGTGGACTGACATATTGACATTTTCGCTGGTGCTTACATTTGCTTTTTATTTATTTATTTTATTTGCTACCCAATATTACCTCGGATGTCATACAGTTCATAAAAAGGATGAAAAATTTTTAAAGGTAAAAATTCATAAAAGTGCTAGTTTTTCATTATCAAATTTTCATATTTTATGCATGCATTCGGTACGATTTCAATTCAACAATATTCAATATAACATCCTTTTACAAATTTCTTCTTAACGGATGAAATTCGATTAACCTTTTTATACCCGAAAATATTTACAATGTTAATATATTCTATAAAGTTTAATTTTCTTTCCTTTCCCGCAGATAAATGGCTGTAGCAAATACTGGTGGGCGTAGTTTGGCCACGAGACTCAATGGCCCCGTCGGGAAGGTCGCATTGGCAGGACTTAAATTGACATGGGACGCGATAAATAGCCTGCGCCGTTGGTGGAAGGGGGAAATTTCGGGGAAGAGGTGCGCCAAGAACATCGTCGATGCCGCCGTGACGATCGGCGCTGGCGTGGCCGGAGGATTCGGAGGAGCCGCCGTGGGGTCTCTATTCGGTCCGGTGGGAACGCTGGTGGGTGGCTTCCTCGGCAGCACGGTGTCTGCATTGGCCGCGAACGCGCTGATCGACATGTTGACGCAGGAGATTTTCGACATCCCGAAGACCGAAGCCCTGGAGAAAGCGTATAATTTTCTCGGGGTCCATCGGAGTGCGTCCAATTCCAAGCTCAACGAGGCCTATCACGGGCTCTGCTTGAAGTACCATCCGGATAGACCGGGTGGAAGTAATGAAGATTTTATCAAACTTCAATGCCACTTCGGGATCATCAAAGCGGCCAGGGGGGAATTGTGAAGCTCCGTCTGTTTTCATGCTTTTTTTGCTTCATCATAACGCCGAATCCGGAGTATAGATCCGACGTTATCTTCCTGGCTTTTTTTTTTCCTTTACTTCTTTTTTTTTGGATTCCATTTTTATCCTCGTTTCTGTTGATTTGCTTCTCCATTGCTTTATTCCTGTGTCGTATGTGTGATTTCTCTGGATAAGATGTCCTTTCGTGCTGAAAATGTCATTCTCTCGTGTTCTATCCTGAATGAATGTGATTTGATGCACATTTCATTTCGTTCCATTCCATCCGAATGAAAACGAAGAACTTGCTAAATTGGTTGCACGAAAAGGGTGAAAATTCACTTTTGCTTACTTCATGCCCGTTTATGGTGGCACCTTTTTTTTTGCGAAATGGCTTTTTGATCATTTTGCGAGAGGAAAAGAACGGAACCCTCCGAATTTGGACCCGATATGGGCTTCCGTGGACAAATCTGAATGGATAATGATTAGTTATAAATAATTATAATCATTATTTATTAATGGGGAATGTGACGAGATTTTTCCCCACACTTTGACGGATCACATTCCCCGTTTCAAACATGATTAAAAAAAAAAACCTTGGAACTGTCAAAAGAAAGCTCTATCGAGCCTCTACCTGAGAATGTGTGAAATCATTCTGTTTGTGTTTTCGAGTTTTTATGCATTTTTTTTTTACCTGGTTTAGCAGCCACCTTGAAATCTTTTGCCCAATTCCAACCAATAAACCTCGTGAACATGCTAAATAAAATCTTCCTTCGACCGAGGGAAAGCCGAAACTAAAAGAAGCCATTGGAGATTACTCATGCCACAACACGAAAAGTGTTTCAAACGGTGGAAATTCTGGAAACGAGAATGGAAGAAGGGACTAAAATAAAACTGGTCTTCCAAGCTGAGCACAGGCTTAGTTTTCCTTCGTTTCGCATCGATTTCGTGAGGATATTTCACTAATATGGGAGAATTCTTACAAATTGACTATACCTTTTTTCTTTTAATTAACTTTCTGTCAAAGTCAACTTTCTGGTCAGTTTTCGGTATCGACATATCTGAAAAAGAAACTCGTAGATTAAACACTTTTAACTAGCACTCTGAGATTACTTACTTTCAGAGATGATTAAGATGTTTTTAAAAAGGAAAGGAAAGGTTTTTTTCCTTCATTTCATTCGATTCTGCAAGGAATTAATTTTCCTTTACGTTCATTTCGATTGATGGCGATCACGCATTTGAGATTTAAAAAAAAAAAGTGTAAAAGGAAACGGAGAAATGTAGGATAGCATGGGGGAAACAGACATCGCGACGTCGAGAGAGAGAGAGAGAGAGAGAGAGAAAAAAACTCGGGGAACGTCCAAAGGGCGACCTCGCCTGTTCCGCCTGTCTGGGCAGGTCCAGGCCTGCAACTGCGACTTGGCGAGTTTTGCAACGGGGGAGAGGGAGGTCAACAGACGTTCCCAAGCTCCCAATGCCCACTCCAAACTGAGTAAGGGTGGTGGATGCGGGTGGTGTTGGCTCTTGGTGTCGTGTGAGTCAATTCTTACTAAACAATTAATCTTCTAATAAGAAATTCCAGTCGCATAATTTATTTATTTATTATGAAAAAACCACGTCATATTCGTGCCACCTCCCCCCGTAACAAATCGTAACACTTTATTCGATCCTCCCCCTCTTCCCCTTGTGTTACGTAATTTGTGAACAACCCTTTTGAGATTTTTAAATTCGCAAAACTTGAATAGAATATTTTCCCCTTTCGTAATAAAACTCAGGTACAAAATGGTTAATATTTTTGGCTGAATATTCTTAAGGGTCTTCCATTCCAATAACAAGGGGAAGGCTGCGTCAGAAGAAACCTACTTTCTCATTTGAAGTTCATAGCCATTTGCACTCATACAATTGCTTCATCGCGAATTTTTCTGCCGTCACTTCTCGTTACGAAAGCGAAATTTAATTTCTGTCCAAAGTAGTGGGGTAGCTTCCGCCGCGAAAAAGAAACTTCAAGAACCATCTCTCCTCTCGAGGTTGCGCGAGAGATTCAGCGAGGAAGCAGACGACGCCGCGCCGCTGCCTGCTCGACCAGCGGCTTCCACGCTCTGTGCTTGCTGAGAGGCGGCGCAGTTAATTCGCATCGGATATGGCGCCTTGCAGGGAGAGAGGTCTTCCCGGAGGTAGTGACAAGGGAATGGCTTGTCGTATGGGTTTACATTGATTAGTATATGAAATCCTACCGTCTTCAAAATGGGTTCTATAGGCCTAATATTTCTATGATTAGAATATACATGCCCTCACTTTTGTGAGCGCCATACAAAAGCGGCATTACCGAAAGTAAAAGATGGTAAATATTTATTTGCAATTCACAATAGGCGTATTTCGCAGATTGTAGCTAGGTCAAGTGAAAGTTAACTTAGGCACATGAATCACGTTTAATTAAAAGACATTTTGTTATAGCAGCAGACCTAGTTCTGCATTGACTTTGATTTATTGTACTACAGTGGTTCCCACTTGGCTAACGTTTAGAGTTAGGAAGAATCGTTAATCCTTTAATGAGTGACCAATATTAGGGAATAAGTCACATTAGTTTGACCCTTGAAGCCATGGGCCTGGACACATGACAGCAGCCTGGTGGAAAAGAAAGTAATGATAAAAAGTAGAAATAAATTGGATATCTGTAAGGGCCTCAGAAAATAAACACATTTTCACTGAACAGTACATGCAGCAGAATACTTTGACATCAGAAACTCATCAAGGCATGAATGTCAACATGAATTAATCATTCACAATCAATGAACTGTACCATACTTCTTTGAGTTTTAGTCTGAGATGTACTTTTGCAATACAATATTTTGTAGTTGCTATTTTAGTTGTCAATGAAGTTGCCTGCTTTATGTGCAAAAGGGATTAAATTTTCACTTTCCCCAGGAGAGGAACTAGATTAAATTAATTAATTACATATTACATGGACCTATTCAAACTTGAACCTATCAGTCATATTTTTAAATTATTGAAAATCATTGTAGGCATGGTTATGGGTTTTTAATGAATCACCCTCCAAGGGTTCTAACATCTCAGCATCACCTTCAGTGTCCAGAGCAGTGACGCACTGCCATCATGCTTGCGCTTTTGCCAGGAATCAGAAAACTTACGCCCTCATGTCATAGCCCCCATAAAGTTCTCTGGCTGTATTATACTAGCAACCTAACTCCTAGATGTCCTGGATGAATTGCTCATGAATCCAAAGTATGCATGCATGGTTTAAAAACTTTAGTCAGTGGTGAGTCATGAAAGTGTGAATAAAATTGGTTTTTCTGAATGTAATACAAGTAAAGCTTCATATCCAAAGCTATGTCAAAAGATTTAATGTATCTGCACCTGCACCTGCCAGTTCAGTTGGATTGGGTTAGGGTGAGTAAGATCATGTGCTCAGATCATGTGTCAAGAAGCAGCCATGGTAGGTACACCTTCTCATGCTAATTTGATATTATGCAAAGGAAACTGATATTCTGGTCCTCAATTTTGAATTTTTCATGAAAGCACATACTTATGGTGGATTTCATTGATGTAAATTTCCTTTTAACACCATGTCCCTGTTGTATGGATATTTGGGAATTTCCTTTCAGATCACCCAGTATTCCTACATAGATGTTAATGCAAGGCCTGCAACCCCAAAGTATTTCAGATATTGGCATATCCTATAGTGCCTCCTAGTGTGTAACCCTATAATTCTGCTTTTAAGTATATTGATCAGTGTAAGTACATCCCATGAAGTGCCTTATTCTTCTCCCTTTAATCACTCTACCCTGTAGCAATGCAGCCTACTATATAGTTTTTCAAGCATCTCCCCAACATGTGATGGCTTGTTATATAGTTATATCAAAGACTTGGAACATGCTAGGTACGGCAGCATCATTTGATGATAAAAATAGTATAATATTAACTAAAGGGTTAAGACTGTAATAAAATGATACAATATTAAGCTGATTTTTTCATGTTATGTAAGTAACATGCAACATTAATATATTGAAATTCTCTAAACTTATGTTTAACTTACACCCTCATGTCATAGCCACCATAAAGTTCTCTGGCTATATTATACTAGCAACCTAACTCCTGGATGAATTGCTCATGAATCCAAAGTATGCATGCATGGTTTAAAAACTTCAGTCAGTGGTGAGCCATGAAAGTGTGAATAAAATTGGTTTTTCAGAATGTAAGTAATATAAGTAAAGCTTCATATCCAAAGCTGTCAAAAGATTTAATGTATCTGCACCTGCACCTGCCAGTTCAGTTGGATTGGGTTAGGGTGAGTAAGATCATGTGCTCAGATCATGTGTCAAGAAGCAGCCATGGTAGGTACACCTTCTCATGCTAATTTGATATTGTGCAGAGGAAACTGATATTCTGGTCCTCAGTTTTGAATTTTTCATGAAAGCACATACTTATGGTGGATTTCATTGATGTAAATTTCCTTTTAACACCATGTCCCTGTTGTATGGATATTTGGGAATTTCCTTTCAGATCACCCAGTATACGACAATTCCTACATAGATGTTAATGCAACCCCAAAATATTTCAGATATTGGCTTATCCTATAGTGCCTCCTAGTGTGTAACCCTATAACTCTGCTTTTAAGTATATTGATCAGTGTAAGTACATCCCATGAAGTGCCTTATTCTTCTCCCTTTCATCACTCTACCCTGTAGCAATGCAGCCTACCATATAGTTTTTCAAGCATCTCCCCAACATGTGATGGCTTCTGTGAGGCTATAGTTATATCAAAGACTTGGGACATGCTAGGTACAACAGCATCATTAGATGCTAACAATAGTATAATATTAACTAAAAGGTTAAGACTGTAATAAAATGATACAATATTAAGCTGATTTTTTCATGTTATGTAAGTAACATGCAACATTAATATATTGAAATTCTCTGAACTTATGTTTATCTAGGAATGTTGTCAAACTGTCTTTATTTTTCCTTCTCAAAATTTTTCACCTTGTAGCCCCAGGATCCGTATACCTATAATCATAATTTCAATTTGATGTCATTCCAGAGTCAAATTAGTGTATTCAAGATCTTGTCTTGAAGTTCAAGCAATGGCAAGCAAATACAATTTGAAGTGGAACTCACATCATGCTGAGACATTCTTCAACTTTGATATTTTACGGAGTAGAGAGAGGTTTGTGGATATCACTCTCTCTTGTGATGGGCAGACTTTAAAGGCTCACAAATTGGTGTTGTGCTCAGGAAGCCTCTTCTTCGAGAAACTCTTGCAGCGAGATGACAGCTGCAGCAGTTGTCCTATTGTCCACTTTCACGGAGTAGACATGATGCATCTTCGGCTTCTGGTGGACTTCATGTATTTGGGTGAAGTTGATGTGCCATCAAGTGAGTTGGAGCAGTTCATCAACTTAGCTGATGCCTTGGAAGTGAAGGGACTGAAAGGAAATGGGTCAAAGCGATCTGCTTTGGCCAGCTCACATAAGAAAACTGACACTGGCCTTCCTCCAGTTTGTGCAAGAAGCCCTGCATTTACAAGATCATTTGATGGAATGAATGTAGCAAGTCCTTCTGAGTCAACTTTTAGTACTCCTGGAAAGCGGAAACTCTCAAAGGGATTGGGAAGCAGTCTAGAGGTACAAGACACTCTAGCTGGGCCCTCAACTTCTAGTTCTCCTATACCTGAGAAAAGGCCAAAAGCAGAAACTATTTCTGACATCCTTCAGGTGATTGTATTTCATGCTTATAGCCACATGTCTGTAATGGTGATTAATAGCCCCCTCTCATATGCCTGGATGTACTTGTGATTCAAATCAAAGGCGTTTTAAGGGTTCCTAAATTGTAAATAGGTTATCTATGTCAAATTTCAATGAGAAAGTCAAATGTGACAAGGAAAATCAAATGCATTGCTGTGCTGGACTTTGGATTTCAAAGATAAACGCCTTGGACATAGGGAAATTCAAATGCAACTGCTGTATCTCACAGCTGCCATGCTACTGCCTTCTCGCATTTCTATTACAGGCAACTTTATATATTCTGGCACATGAAAAATATCGCCAATGGTTCCTGCACACACAATCTTATGTGTCTGGAATTGAATGGCATTTTCCACATTATATTTTCCAAATGTCAAATATACATAACTTCCAAATTCCGGCATCCAGTAGGCCTGTCCCATTTGATTTTCCTTGTGTCTTCCCAGATAGTGTTGAATTCAAATTTTCATATCACATTTGGAATTTGTAAACCTATACATCCAATCGAAAGCTTTCATTCTTCATGATTTGACATAAAAAGTTTCCAAATGAGATTTAAACCAATTTTTGAAATCATATGCACATAAATCCCTGCTCCTGCAGATGGAGTTGTGCATAATGGAAATGATCAGCCACCAAAAAGGCAGCTGCCTGCCATGACTGTGAGATATAGCTGTCACATTTGAATTTCCTAGTTGCATTTGACTTTCTTATTACTACATTTGACCTAGAAAATCTCTATATTATGCCAATGTTTTCAAGCGAAAGTGTTCATTAATGGTGTTTTGCCCTGACTTGATGTTTGTTTTTGTATCCTGATTTAGACATCTTGTGCCAATGCTGGTAGTGGGAAATCGCTACCAGAGGTAGCTATGAAGTCAGAGGCTGAAGAAGCTCCAGATATGGACCCTGATGAAGTAAGTTTCCTCTTATGAGTAAACTCATTATCCTTTCTAATACGGACACCTGCAGTCAGTTACTGGCATATTTTTCCAGGAAGTGAACTCAACCCATTGGCCTGGAGATGGAGCAGGGGCTGCTGAGAGCATAGAAGAGCTTGATCCTAATGAATTTCCTGCCAACATCCCCCCTGAAATAGACCCAGTTGTGAGTTTCACTCGAAAAATTTATCTTGCATTGTAGTCAGTTGGGCGGGGAGGGGGATTCATTGAAGGGTACAAATGAGTTCTCAAGATTTGGTTATATTTTCCTTTTGCATTTCATTTGGGTTCCTGATGATGGTCCTGTAATATAGAATTCATATTTTCATGGGTTATAAGAAAGACCTTTCGAAGTCCTGTGTCTGCACACATGGACAAACTTGTATGAATATTTAACAGTTGTATGTTGCAATGTCTCAGCTGGCATAAAATATTTTTTTATGCAAGTAATATTTGAGAGTCCAAAGTGATATTTCTGAATTACCCTATAGGATATGAGTTAGGGTTTCAACTTTAATGGCTACATATCTGCACACTAAATTTCATCAGTGTGAAAAAGTGCATACCAGAAAATCATCCATGTTAAAAGATATTTGACTACTGTGGTTGGCCCACAGTACCGACCACTTCCCTAAAGTGCAATATGATAGGCTAACACATAAAGGTCTTTCCCTTTTAAAGCATTTGCTGTGTTAAACAATCTGCATCATAGAAGTCTTGTTGCAACTTCGAAAAAGTTTGGAGTGCTTTCTAGTTTATTTTTATCTCTAATTAGTAATTCTTGCCAACTTTGTGAATTGAATGCCCACATATGACCATTTTAAATGTTCTATGTGGCTGTTGCATTTGTGTATGCACAAATGATGTCTTTGAAGCCTGCTCAGAGATTACATTTCTGATTATGATGTGGTATGAAATGCTACGTAATTCTTGGACAGCTTTCAAACAGGCCTGAAAAGGAGAATGGTATCACTCTCAGGTGCCAGTACTACTGTGACTTGTATTATAGGCCTTTGGTCAACCTAGTAAGGGTGCTGAAATGCCATGCTAATTGTGGACTTGTTATATAGTGTAAAACCCTTTTTCACCTGTTTGAGACTTATTTTCTCATTCTTTAATTGATTCTGCTCATATTCCTGTCAGTTCTATTTCAGTGATGCACTTCATGAATTATATCATCCAGACACATTCTACAACTTTCACTGTGCAGAAAATCTTTTCAATCTTAGAATGGTGCAGAAATTAACTTGAGTGACTATCATTTCCAATTGATATAAGTTTTATATAGGAAAATTATTCTTGTTTGACAAAGCCAAGCACTCTTCCACTGGTACAAAGTTTCTTGGAATCTTGATTTACCACATCTTGTCCATAACAATTTTTAATAGTTACTTGCTTTTACTAGAGCATTGTGACGAGAAATGATGGAATTTGGTCTGGGAGAATTACCACCACTGGAGGAAGGATTTACTTCTGCCCATATTGTCCATACTCCTCACCATATTGCTCCACTATTTTGAATCACACTCGAATCCATACTGGTGAAAAACCATTCAAGTGTGATGTTTGTGGGAGACGGTTCACCCAGAAGGTGACCTTGAGAACTCATTCATTAAAATGTCAGAAATTCTAGGTATTGGTGGTATATGTATTCAGTACTTTGTATTAAATGCTTTTGAAAGTATTGATCTTTGGTCATATTCCATACACTGTGCGAGGCATCTTGTAGGCTTTCTTGTCACCTGATCACATCAAGCAATTTAAGGTGCTCCATACTTGTGTCTCTAAGGTGCTTTTTTTGCATGGTCCTGAAACTCATCTCATTAAAGACAAATGGATGTAATTCCAAGTTTCTCAAGGCCAGCTAAGAATGCACATTTATTACTTGAACTCATTATCTCAAAAGAGTGAAACTGTAGTGAAGCTATGATCTGTTGGAAAGTCAAGACAATCATGATCTGTCATGACATGAGAATACTGTTGGTTATAAATGAAAGGGAACCTGTCATGACCAATGGGAACTGATGAGTAAAGCCCTTTAAAAGATGCCTTGCATTCATCACAGAGACACAGTTTTATTTAAAGAAAATGGTGGTAGTATGTTTGGAAAGGATGGAGCCCCTAATGGTGTCCCTAAGTTGTTCAACCAACTTCCAAGCATCAGCCAAGACTTAGAGAATGGTTCTAGTTTAATGATGAACTCCATGTTCCTAGGTGAAGAAAGTTGATGGAGCATTCATTCCATGAAGTTAGTAAAAGGAATGAAGTTAATGCTGTTAGAGAAAGATGAAAAGGATATAAGAGAGACTCTTTGTGATACATATTTGTGCCATGCTGCTAGCACAAGGAATTGGAAGACCCTCTGTGACAAAAGGATGGAAACCATTTGGCCATCCTCAATGGCCTGGAACAGTTGACTGTCCCTTTCCATGCTGATATTTAGCACACCACTATTTTGCAGTGGTGTCCATCAGTGGAGAGGAAGATGGTGGCATTTGACTTTTTTCCCCATTTTTTAATTATCAAATTTATTTTACATGTTTAGATGTAGTTATTGTGTAGCTTATCTTGTCTAGTTTCTACCTTCTGTGAAAATTTCAAGGAAAAAAAAATGATTCCACATGAGTGCAGGTGGTTTCTCCATGGAGTTTCTTCATTTTAATGAGAAGAGGCAGTTTTGAGGATCAGGAATAGGAAGATTTCATACCCATCTCATTATCTTTGGTAGAGCGTGAGACGGGGAAACCATGGGGTCTGGTCTGGCAGGGACGTCAGCATTGGCTGCAAGGTCTACCTCTGTACCTACTGCCCCTATAGGTCCCCATACAGCAGCCATGTTGTGTCTCACATTCGAACTCACACAGGCGAAAAGCCTTTCAAGTGTGATTTGTGTTGGAAAACTTTTGTTCAGAATGTGAGCTTGAGAAGGCACATGTTGAAGTACCACAGCGATACATCTTGAATTTGAGTAAATCCCTGTGAATAAAACTTTTTTTTACCAAAGTGGTATTGGTTTTGCTTCATCTGCATAACTAGCATGGTATTGGAGAGATCACAATAGACAAGGTTTCACTGATATATTTGCTTGTCATTCTAAACTTCATGTGCTTCATCATCTCTCATAGTGATGTACCTGATGATGAGAGCATCATAGTCCTTAATTGGAGAGACACGCAAACTTGAGCACTTCCATGTACTTCTTTCTTTCTTGTCTTCAGACAAGGTCCACCATCTTAGGTTGAATTATGTGCTTAGTTACAAGGGCAGAAATTCAATCCATTCCATTTCTTATGATTGGGAGGACTTCAGAATATCAGGTACCATGCATCATATTTGTAATGAGATGTTAGTGGAAAAGGTTATTTTTAAAAATGCATTCCATGTGAATTGGGCCTATTCATTAAACATGAAAATACAAACAAGTCAGTTTGCATATATGGCAGATTATAGTATTCTCTTAGTTGCATTGGCTTCTTTTCTTTTATGTCTCTCACTAGACACTGCATCCAGCAGGACATATGATCTGGACAGGGAAATCTCAGAACTCTCCATCCCAGAAGTATTTTTGTGAGATTTGTGGGCTGCAGGGGAAAAATAAAACCAACATGGAGGAGCATGCTAGGACACACACCGGGGAGAAGCCCTTCCAGTGCCAGGTCTGCTTCAAAACTTTCTCCAAAAAGGGTAATGCAAAGATCCACGTCGTGAACGTCCACAGAGTACAACCCAACAGTGAGAACATCCTCTTTGTCACTCGATGAATCGTCCATTCGTTACGTCTAGTACATCCTGCATTGTGTTTGGAGGATCTTGGTGGCTTTGTGATATGGTCTATTGAGGTCCTGTCTGGTTTAATCAAAAAATGGATATATTGTCTTCCTTAAGTGGCTTCTCAAGTGCCAATCTCAGTGCAATTGCTTGTCATCTATCCCAAGTCTTTCTAGAAGTTCATGGCCCTTTATTCTTATGATGTGCTATTTTGGATGGGCATTTATCTCTCTATAATTTCCATATGCCTTATGGACTTGTTTTGCTTCCTTGCTTTCTTAACACTTACGATGCAGGAGATTAAAATATACATTCCAGTATCCACTACCCTTGAGTGCAGAGACCTTTAGAATTTTTCCCTTCATCTCCACAAATTGAAAAATGTATATGAAGGGAAATTAAGGGAATGAAAGAATTTAGAAAATATCTTTCGAGAAAAATTCCACAAAGCATAAGCCCTTAAAATTCACCCACACCAGCAGGTATAAATCTACATATCATAAGTGTTAACTCTGCAAGCAGTAACAATGAATGAGCAAATAGAAAGTGGATCACCTAAAAAATCCACATTGCTGAGAGAAACTGCACATTTATTCATGTGAAGGATGTATTCTGAAAATACGCAATGGAGATTAGGACTCGTTAGTGCAGAATTGTTGGAACTGCTGGCAGTATTTTTTGCTTTGAATGACCCATGACCATGGAGTCAATGCAACTCATGCCAGTCAATTTGCCACCCAGAGAATTTATGTGACTGAAATCATTGAATGAGAAATCATAGTTTACAAACGCTGTGACCATCAGTCTCATCTGTGAGACTAAGAGAGTGAAATGGCCTCAGTGCACAATCATCACAGCTGAATGAAAGTTACCACAGTATTTCTCACAAAATACTGTGATAGAATTTTTTCAGAGTTGTTTACTTATTTTTGTCTGCCCTTCATGTCATGCCTCCCTTCCCAATAATATATTCAAACTCTCATCTTCAAGGAAAGAGTGATGTTAATGCTGGGACCAAAGCAAGTTTATTCCAAATGAAATTACCATACAAAATATCTGTGATCATCTCCATTGGTCATTGGAAGGTGGAGTCTTGTGATTTGCTCTCGTGTTGAGAGTCGAACGAGTGTGCTTTCGTCTTCTTCGACTTAATTTCAAAACCAAAATTTTGTGAACCTGCTCACTTAGGCTTTAAGTAGCTTCTGTTTTTTTTGGGGATTGTTTTGCTGAGCAGGACCAAAGTGTGTCAGTCTATGAATTCTCCTTGATCTGTTTCACTTTCTCATTCATATCTTGGCATAATAAAATTGGGTTATCCTGGAGAAATTGCTTTGTACTGTGCCCTTTCAAACATAGTTCAGACCCTGCATTGTTGGATATATCGGTGTCCCATGTACCATGTCCTTGGTGTGAAACATGCTCTGAAGCAGACCGGAGCACTCGATTCATCATTGTGTCTCTTGATCATTTCAGACTCGAACATCATTTATTACACACGATTCAACGACATAAAAAAATGTTCCCCCTGTCATGAAATAATAAATGTAATGGCTATACAATATTGGAGAAATACAATCACCAAGGACCTATTATTTGACAATTTGGCACCTGCTGGAATCATTTTGCTCACAGCGGCAAACATTCAGGCAAAACGCCACATGCAGGTCAATTAGGTCCGTTCAAATTAGACGCCGCAGCAAGAAAGTTGACTCTTGCAAAATTTACTAACGAAAAGCCGATGGAAACGTCGTAAATGTTGGATCTGTGAAACTCGATCGAGAGTCTGCATCCAAATTATGCATCAGACCATTAATACAATTTCGTAAAACTCGAAGGAAGCAAGACTGGCATGTCATTCTCCCTCGAGATCCCAGAGTCTTCGTGTCCCCGACGAAAAAAAAAAAAAAAAAAAAAAAAACCCCCCCCCCCCATGCCCCCCAAAAAAAAAAAAAAAAAAAAAAAAAAAGCTAGCATCCACGAGGATCCATCGTTTCATCGAGAAAATTCACGGAACGGCCGATCCCCTGTGGCGGATCCTCGCCCACAGCTCCCGCTTGAGATGCGTCACGTCCCTGTTCGCCCCCCGCGTCACGCCCCGGTTCTCCTGCGCACGCCGCGACAGGTACGGCAGGACGTCCCTCAGGTCCCCGAACGGCAGGGACTTGTACACTCGGAAACCGGCTTTGGCTGGGGACGAAAGCACGTTTTTCATTATTTTTTTTAGGATCGGGGAAGGACTTGTCTCATGCTGTTTTTCTTCGGTGGGTTGCATTTACTTATATCTTCCCATCGCGAGTAAAAAAATGGTAACAAATGCGAGCAACAAGGATCGTTTCCCGGGCAGTTCCTCTACTATTTTACTAAAAGTCTGCCGTGCCTTTAAGCTTCTTCACCCAACGATCAGCCCCAATTATACGATTTCATTTATTCTTTTAATTAATATTTCTTGTGTTCAGCATCGCGTGGAATCTCCAGCTGTTTTGGCACCAGTAGCTGAGCCTTGTCCTCTCGCGAGAGACATCTAGCGAACACCGAGCAAAGTTCAGAAACGGACCGTCAAAGCTCTTCTTTTTTTTTTTCCTCCTCCGTTATCCTCCCCATTTTCCGCACGAACGAGCAAGAAAAACCAAATTGTCGGCCATAGGCTGCAATTGTGCTCACGTATCCCGTGAGTACCAGATGGATTTCAACTACTGTTAGGGCGGGAAGCCTAACCCAATAACCTAGAAATTCTGTCCGTCCTTGAATTGGTCAGACGGTCCCCGTCGAAGCCTACATATTTCAGGCTGAACGCCAATTCTAAAACATTCGTACTTTTTTTGCATAACTACCCAGCTTAAAATCCAGGCTGGAAACAGCTATAATTTCCAACTGGATCCCAGCTGTAAATTCGGACCCATACCAGCTGGGTAGCAGCTGGAAAGTAGTCAGATTCAGATTGGTTCCTAGTTGGAATATCACTAGCTGAATGGGAATCTTTTTGTTGAATGTTTTTGTCGGAAGTTCAGAAACAGAAACAACTGAGTTTCAGTTGTAAATTCTGCTGTATTCCAGCTGTCGGGTCCTCTGTATGAAATTCTAATGGGAAATTTCCAGCTGGAAATAGCTATTAAGACCAGCTGCATTCCAGTTGGAAAACTCCAGCTATAAACCAACCGGGATCTACTATTTTCCAGCTCTTTGCCAGCTGGAAATGGTCCGAATTTACAGATTCAGTCCAGCTGGAATATTCCAGTTGGGATTTTAAACTGGGTACCTACTCTTTGAAACACGAGAATTGCAATTGCCATTTCACAATGCAATCATTAATTAATTAACTAATTCGAGTATGAAAAGGAGACAGACCCAACGGGAGAGAAACATGGTCGCACATGCCGTAAACCTGCGCGAACTGGACGCAGTCCTCGCCGAGGCCGAGGTCCCGCATCGCGGCGATCGCGGACCGGATCGAGTCGCGGTTGTGCGTCGCGACCACGAGGTGGGTCCGCCCCGCGTCGCGCTTCGCCCAGTTCAGGACGGACTCGGTCACCCTGGGATCGGATAAACGACCGGACTTCATGCATCTGATCTGCTGCAGTCACGATCACGTCCGAATTGACCAAATTTAATGCAACGTTTAAGTTCAATTTTTTCAAAGACAAAATCCCCTAATTTTTTCCTGCCACAGAACGCAACAACACAAAACAAAATTTCAGATAATAAACAGGTTCTCGTGAATATCCAAAAGGAACTCGCATGTCGTAGCAAGCTCCCGTGTCCTCATAGGTCTCGTGAATGGGAGAAGGCAAGCCGCCTTCCCTCGCGAGCTGCCGCTCCTGCTCCATGTAAGCTCCCCGCACCACCTTTGCGCCGAAGCAATACCCGGAGGAGTGCACCCATTCGCGGTCCTGTTGGATCAGCTCCCACGCCCTCTGGATGGAGGATTGTCGTCTGCTAGAGCGGTGACGTCAAGAGTGGGGTGATGACGTCACGGAGGGCGTCTGCTGCGTACCTTGAGGTAGCACTGGTAGGTTTGGAAGACTTGGGGTTTGTCCCGGTTGAAGAGTCTCACGAGGGTCAACGCTATGAGTCTCAGAGCGGGGTTCACGCTTGTGTATTCTCCGTCCAGGAGGAGCCTCACCCCGTGTTTCTCGCAATGCGTTGCTGCAACGAGAATCGCCGTCACCCCGATCGAAACCGCTCGAAATCTCGAGACAACGAGTAGGGCCGGATTAAGGTTACGAAGGGCCCTTAGGCGAATGGGAGGGAAGGGCATAAGTAAGAATTACATATTACATACATGGAACAAAAAAAAAATGGAATGGTGGGCCTAAAGTAGGGCCTAAAAATATAAGGGTCTAAGGCCTATTAGCCTATGGGTTAATCCGGCCCTGACGACGAGCGACTCACCGACCTTGCCGATCCGGACGAGCCCGTCCTCCAGTCGTCGCCGCTCGGGCGCGGGGAGCGAGGGGAAGAGGGGGAGCGAGGGGGACTCGCCGAGGAGGAAGCGGGAGGCCTGGCCTGCCATCTCCCATGTCGATGGCTCGTTCGAGGTGCAGATTTGGGACATTCGGGCCTGGGTTGGGTGTCGCTTTCGATCAGTTTTTCTTTTTATTCTACTTCCGACTTAATTCTAGGACGAAATCCCGAGACTCGGTTTTTTTTTTGCGTTTTCTCGATCCCGAAGTTCGGAATCGTGAGTTGCGCCAATTGATCGTCAATGAGTTATGCCAATTTAACCGTGCCTGTCTTCTACTTATTCTGCCCGACCAAGGAAACGGTGGATTTACGTTCAGATTTAGTACAGGAGCCTGCTTTCCCAAGCGATTTGGGCGAAGGTGATGATGCTTTCTCAAAACATTCATGTGCGGCTGTTTTGCAAAGAGTTCTTGAAAATTGAAACCCAGCGTCGCATGTGCATGAGAGTTCCCAGTGGGCAAACAAAGCATTTGAAACAAAAACCTTTTATACACTGCTAGACATCTTTAAACGCTATTTTAAATTAATTTTC